AATTTTCTGAGAGAGGGAAGGAGAGGGGGAGCGGTAAGGAGGGGAGAAAGAGAAGGAAGGGAGGAGAGGGTAGCCGAGATGAAAGAGTGGGAGAGGGAGAGAGAGTCCCGGTCACTGCTGAGTACTCCCGTCTAGTATTGATATATAGTTAGGCTTCAATCTGGTTAGGCTAGGTTAGGTGTTTTGGTTCTGTTGGCGGTTACTTGTATCCACAGTACGTGGGTGAAGCATTTAGTGAGGCGCGTTTCGAGCAAGAGACGAGAATGAAGCAACAGTTCGAGGAAAGTACGGACGTGTGTAAACTTCTTTCAATGATAACAAAAATAAAATGGGGATTTGGCGGCCGGATTAACGCGCATTTAGTCATTGTTCACGAGGACGGGCTGCGATAATGTTCAAAAGTGTATTTAGAAGAGGAATCTAAGTATGCAACAATTAACTTGCTACTCTTACGCGTTCCTCTATACAGACCCATGAACCTCGCGAGTGAATGATTAATCCATTCCATGTTCCTTCCTTCCTTCCCACACACACACACACAACCTTCCGAGACAAAAGGCAGACATTCCAGACACAGGACAACCTTCCCCAGTACACAAGAGGTGTACAAGCGTTGGCGAATGCAGTTGATGAGGACTGTTGATGAGTATCTGAAGAAGAAACCGTTATTCAACAAGCAATAAAGATCAGACACGCACCCCCCCCCCAGTCCCTCCCCACAGCTTAAATTTCTAATATGTCATGATAACAACAACAAGAGACACCATATCATAATATCCTGCCTGGCGCACTCTTGTCAACACGGCCTCGGAAGAGCGCGGCGGGCCGGACCTGTGTTGTTTGTGTGACCTAGTGACCGGCGCTGTGTACCGGGTAAACACACCTATTACGTCCAACCCAAACATGACGAACAAGTGTTTGGCACAGGTGATGCTTTAAGGGAATGTGTGTCCGGCTCACGTGATGTTTCAGGGGGAAAATATCGAGGTGGTGGAGGGGGTGGATGCTGAGTTGGTTGAAGGGTGGATGCTGAGTGGGTGGAGGGTTATATACAGGCCGAGAATCAGGGGCAGCAAGCGAGGAGGAATACTGAACATGAAGGCCTTCATCTGAACAGCGCAGGGAGAGTGTCTGGAGTCCCAGCACTGAAGCCAAGGTGGCCACACTCGGAGCAGCTGCAGCAGTCCCAGAACCAGCTGGCCACGGACGATGTTTGCATCACCAGGAAGGACACAACAGCAGCACTAACAGGACCAACTGGCTCGGTCGTCGAAGACTCGATAACATGGGTCCCGTCCCAAGGCGACATGGACCCTTAAAACGATGAGCTCCCAGCTACTTATTGGCGTGAAGGAGAGAACGGGAGGGCACGATAACCTTCCGGCGTGGCGCGGGAAGACTCCCCAGGGTGACAGCCACTGTCAGCCCCGGAGGCGCGTGAATGACAGCCACTCTCACACGTGAGTGAAAGTGGCTGTCTTCTGGAGCGTCAAATCGAATATCCGGAGAATGGGGGATGGAAATTAGAGAATGTTTGCTTTGTCGGCGGATAAAGGTGGGAGAGAGGCAGTCACTGCCTCCCTCCCACAGTGACTGACCTCAGCTCCCGGCACTCACACTTTCTGACTCTTCTTATTCTAACTCTTAGACGCCTCAGGAACGATTCCACAGATTATATTGTGAAATTCAGAACCCACGTACTCTGATGCGCTCGGGAGGAGGGGGGGTTAATCCAAAAGGCTTGGGTTCGAAGCAGAAACAAATGAATTTCTTTCACCTGATTTCCCTGTTCATCTAACAGTAAATAGGTACCTGGGAGCTACTATAAAAGTAGAGGAAAAAAATAGATCGAAAGAGTCAGTACATTAGACAACCAATGATTAGAAGGACAAGGTCCAAGACTAGCAGTCAGGTGGTCGGAACAAGCAGAGTACCACAGACATGGGTGTAACAAGGCATAATGCCACAGGCAACAGTGTAACAAGTGTAGTACGGCTGTTAAGGACGAGCGACGTCCTTCTTGTAGGTGCTCTATCACAACCCGTGTCTAAACACGGACACCTCAGCTCCCTTCAATGGGGTTTACAAAAGTAGAAAAGACCTTAGTAGGTATTGTCCACCACTGGCCACCACTGGTCACCACTGGCCACCACTGGCCCCCACTGGCCACCACTGGCCACCACTGGCCCCCACTGCTCATCACTGGTCCCCACTGGCCACCACTGGCCACCACTGGCCACCACTGCTCATCACTGGTCCCCACTGGCCCCCACTGGCCACCACTGGCCACCACTGGCCACCACTGCTCATCACTGGTCCCCACTGGCCACCACTGGCCCGCACTGACCCCCACTGGCCCCCACTGGCCACCAATTAAGCGACTCATTATGTAAATATCTGGTCCAACAAAGGTTGTGATCAACCACGATACTAGACTAGACCACCACCATAACACAAGAGGATGTCCTAGTGCGGAACATACACGTAATACCGCACTCTCTTGTGCCAGTACGGGAGGTCTTGCTACCTACCTTCGTTTACAATAATTAAGAACAAACAATCCTATCTAGTGAGAGGTCCCATGACTGTTTTATATATATATATATATATATATATATATATATATATATATATATATATATATATATATATATATATATATATATATATATATATATTAAACAGGTAGGTACAGGAGCAGACAGTTGTTGGCTCTTGTTAGCAGGCTGAGAGCTTTCTCTTGCCACAGCTCATCGCAAGCCTTACTGTACTGAATATATAATATAATATAATCATATATATATAATATCATATCATATAATATCATATATCATGTAATCATATAATCTGAACATATAATCACAGCAATCATTACCTGGGAACACTGAGAATGTTCCCATCTATAATCCCCAATAAAGAATTGATTACCTCGGTGACCGTTAATTATAGAATAAATTAAAGAATTTGTCTTGTTAATTACCCCCACGTTAATTGCCTGCTAATTACCTGAAAACCGCGTTAAGAGGAAAACTAATTAAGCTGCTGCACTCGGATATGTTATAATTAGGAATTATAAATATACCATTTACAATTTATTGTCGTTTACATTGGCTTACAATCACCGAGTAAATCACGGGAGGACTTACCAAACTATCTGAACATAACTTAAGGGAATTAGGAGTGACAGAAGAGTCGTTGATCCTCTGCTGATGGGGATCTCCCAGAGCGGTAGTGTCTTCGTTATAGCAAGTGTTGACACGGGTGGAGTTTGAACATTGATACTGTTCTTAAAAGATTCCAACCCATTTTGCACCCGCAAGATAACGTAAGCTTTCAAGGGTTGACAGAATGTTAATCTTCTTGTTTTGAGGAGCTGTTCACTTGAGACAGTTAAGCAAGTCCCAGCTGTGTCTGGGTACAAGTGACAGGATGAACAACCCAGCGGGTTTTCTTCCTTTTGGGGAGTGTTGTACATGTTGCTATGGCGGTGTGTCCACTCACAGGATGAGTGGCGCTGCCCAATACTGTTACTATGGCGGTGTGTCCACTCACAGGATGAGTGACGCTGCCCAATACTGTTACTATGGCGGTGTGTCCACTCACAGGATGAGTGGCGCTGCCCAATACTGTTACTATGGCGGTGTGTCCACTCACAGGATGAGTGGCGCTGCCCAATACTGTTACTATGGCGGTGTGTCCACTCACAGGATGAGTGGCGCTGCCCAATACTGTTACTATGGCGGTGTGTCCACTCACAGGATGAGTGGCGCTGCCCAATACTGTTACTATGGCGGTGTGTCCACTCACAGCATGAGTGACGCTGCCCAATACTGTTACTATGGCGGTGTGTCTACTCACAGGATGAGTGGCGCTGCCCAATAAACTCGCCCCTCGAGGCAAAATTAAAACAAAATACTGTTGTAAGTGTAGTGGTGATGCGTTAGTCATACTTTGGCAATTACCCCCCCCCCATCATTCTCGCTGTTGGGGACAGGAAGCCTGTATACTTGCATGTATTGAGCCTCATCCCCTTACGTCCACTATATACTGACCCTTTCCCCCGGGTTGCAACCCCACAACAGTTGCCTAAATCCCGGGTACCTATATACTAGCTGCTAGATGAATAGGTCCATCAGATGAAAGGAAACATGGCCAATCACCGGTTCTGTCCAGCCCGGGATTCGAACCGGGCTATAGGACCCGGTGCGCCTAGGATCAACAGCTGTTGGTAGTCCTCTCTCTCTCTCTCCCATATAATCTGCTCCCAGAGTAATTCTTCCCCCGCAATACTCTCTGGTAATTTCCATTCATATTCCTTTTATCCCCTCCCACCCTTCCCGGGAATGTGGAAGGGGGCAAGATAAGGGAGAGGGGGAAGATTGTGGTTTATTTCGAAGGAGATATATGGTGTGTGTGTGCGAGTGTGTGTGTGTGTGTGTGTGTGTGTGTGTGTGTGTGTGTGTGTGTGTGTGTGTGTGTGTGTGTGTGTGTGTGTGTGTCTCTGTGTGTGTGTGTGTGTGTGTGTGTGTGTGTGTGTGTGTGTGTGTGTGTGTGTGTGTGTGTGTGTGTGTGTGTGTTCACCTAGTTGTGTTTGCGGGGGTTGAGTTTTGCTCTTTCGGCCCGCCTCTCAACTGTCAATCAACTGTAACTAACTCTCTTTTTCTCTCTCTCTCTCATTCTAAAACTTTCCCTTTCTCCTGATCATACTCCTCACACCTCCCTTCCACCTCTTTACCTAACCCACTCTATGAAATTCTTCATTCATCTCATTTTCCTTTTCATTTTCCGATACGTTACAGCCCTGAGTGAACTGATTTCTGTCGACCAAGATACCACCCACATCACTTCTGAGGAGTAAAATGGGATTAGTAAGAAAGAAACTACACAGGTGTCAGTAAGATCACAGCCATCCACCGGGGATCAGAAAATGGGGTCGGGTGTGCTCAACAGATGGCACTGACATTGTCACATTGTGTGTGTATGCAATTCATTAAAATCGAATATTGCTCTACAAATACAATAATGAATTTTAACGAGCCACAAACAGCAAAATGTTCTACACTCCAATAAAGTTTGATATTAGAGAAAACACAAGAAAAACGTCAGGTGAAAGTTTTGAAAAGGAAATAAAAGTTGTCAACTGGAAAAGCTGACAAAGTACCAGACGCATTAACCTGCCTTGAGAAAGTTGCTGTCAGAAGGAGGAGAAAGTGACGGAGACAGTGCCTCAAGGTGGTACTGTCTGGGCAGAGAAAGTGATCACATGAAAGGGGGTGAAAAGAAAGTGACTACATCAGAGGTCAGCTACGAAGGGCAGCAAGACACAATGTCATCTCGGGGAAACTACGAAAATCTAATTTGCATTTTCAGTACAAAGTAAAAAAAAGAAACTTTCATGCAGAAAGCACGTGTAAAAATGGCGACTACATTTGGCAGGTAATAACCAAGGCAGAATAACTGTTAATTACAAGACAACAGAAATAATTCATCCAAACGAAAGTAATCATGCAAAAATCAAACACAAATAACCAATATAAAGCAAGTGAAACCATATACTATAGAGCCGCTGAAGAACAACATCTAAGAGAAAGTAACTCACTACAGCTGTGAATCTCCTCATGTAGAAGCTTCTTCTTGTTGAGGATGGCCTTGGCGGCGCTGCTGTCGCCGGAGGAGGGCACTGCGGGAGACCCACACACCAAACCGTTAGAATTTAAATTTGAATTTGTAATGAATAACGGTCATTCCAAGTTGGACACTGAGGGGGGAAAAGGTTAATAGCGCAGATGGGTTATTCCTTTCTTTATACCATATTTATCATTATGTCGTAGATATGTGCTTAAATTACTCGCTTCCAGCGTGGATACATACAGGTGGATTTGTTGCTACAAGTGTGGATACATGCAGGTGGATTTGTTGCGACGAGTGTGGATACATGCAGGTGGATTTGTTGCGACGAGTGTGGATACATACAGGTGCATCTGTTGCTACAAGTGTGGATACATGCAGGTGGATTTGTTGCGACGAGTGTGGATACATGCAGGTGGATTTGTTGCGACGAGTGTGGATACATACAGGTGGATCTGTTGCTACAAGTGTGGATACATGCAGGTGGATCTGTTGCTACAAGTGTGGATACATGCAGGTGGATCTGTTGCTACAAGTGTGGATACATGCAGGTGGATCTGTTGCTACAAGTGTGGATACATGCAGGTGGATCTGTTGCTACAAGTGTGGATACATGCAGGTGGATCTGTTGCTACAAGTGTGGATACATGCAGGTGGATGTATACAATTCTCGCCTGATATGTGATGTGTGTTATCACAATATTTTGTCTGAAAAATACACACTCGAAAATGAACATCAAATTAATACACACTAATTATTCACAAAGTCTATTCATGTGAACAAACTTCGATGTTTGGCCTAAGGCCTATCAACCTCTGGAAGGATACCGAGACAACCACAACAGCTTGCTAAAACCACCAAGTATACTTATTCATATACACAAGACAAGACTGAGGCTAACTTTCAATGTATATACACTGAGATGCAGAGTTATCTCTTCTTGAGGATATCTTAGGAAGGATATAACCAGGGAAGTTATAATTATATCTTGAGGATATAACCAGGAAGCAGCCCGTAGCAGCTGTCTAACTCCCAGGAACCTATTTACCGCTAAGTGAGAAGGAGCATCAGATTGAAAGAAACTCTGCCCATTTGTTTCAGCCTCCACCGGGGGGATCGAACCCGGAACTTCAGGACTACGAACCCCGAGTGCTGTCCACTGGGCTGTCAGGCTGTCAGGTACACGGAGTATATATTCCTTGGGTTTAAACTAAATATTATTTAGATGACTATAACATACACGAAAGAATAAAAGAGACACGAGACCCTTGAGAGTCTTGGATGTTGTTGTTGTTATAGATTAAGCTATTCGGAACAAGTTCCAAGTAGCACGGGCTATGGTGAGCCCGGAACAAAAGTAATCATCAGGAGGCGGCCCCAAGCTGGGAAGACTAGTGCAACCAAAGACTTCCTTGTGTGCAAGAACTCAACAATGGGGACTGGAGGAAGCAATTGTGACGGCTTCAGTAATTAACTCTAACCTGTGTCTGGCCTTGTTTCTTACCCATATAATTGATATCTTATTGTCCTCAGTTTTTTAAGGAAAGTGAGGAGGAGGAGGAGTCCAGCACACCCTTACAAGAGATGTAGGCGACAAACTTCATTAAATTGCCGTAATATTCTAAGATGTTGAAGGGACTGTTAATGAAGATACCTGGCTATATATATATATATATATATATATATATATATATATATATATATATATATATATATATATATATATATATATATATATATAATATACACACATACAGTACTCTGAGAGTCCCTGTGATTGTTGAAGGGGAAATATGTTGCGGCCTCTCAGATTCTTTCTTTAATAATTACAAAGTAAGGTTACATAATTGTGTGGTGGAGCGTCAGGTCAAGACGGATGGCCACGGGTCCAAGACAGCCTCAGGTGTGCCAGAGTAAGGCTACAAGACCAAGTCTCAGACTACCAGTTACATGGTGATGGGACTCCACAAGCAGGAGCCCCTCAGCCCTGGTCTTTTTAACATCCTTATAGAAAACCTCGTTACCATAATATGGGCATACAAAATACTAATAGGAAATACGCAAGTTAGACATGAACAGGTTTTTACAGTTGAGGTTTAACGTGACAAAAGGATAAGGTTTAAATTTAGAGACAGAAATGATTTCGAGAAAAACTAAAATAAATTACTCGAAGGGAATGCTGGTGGACACCCACAGGCTCAAGATCAAATACGAGAGTGATGCAGGTTGCCTCTGAACCACAAGGTATAATATCCCATGTATAAGGTACATACAGGCAGGAGGCAGAGCCCAGACACTGAGACATCGCTCCTCCATGTAGACACTGAGACATCGCTCCTCCCTGTAGACACTGAGACATCGCTCCTCCCTGTAGACACTGAGACATCGCTACTCCCTGTAGACACTGAGACATAGCTCCTCCCTGTAGACACTGAGACATCGCTCCTCCCTGTAGACACTGAGACATCGCTCCTCCCTGTAGACACTGAGACATCGCTCCTCCCTGTAGACACTGAGACATCGCTCCTCCCTGTAGACACTGAGACATCGCTCCTCCCTGTAGACACTGAGACATCACTACTCCCTGTAGACACTGAGACATCGCTCCTCCCTGTAGACACTGAGACATCACTACTCCCTGTAGACACTGAGACATCGCTCCTCCCTGTAGACACTGAGACATCACTACTCCCTGTAGACACTGAGACATCACTACTCCCTGTAGACACTGAGACATCACTACTCCCTGTAGACACTGAGACATCACTACTCCCTGTAGACACTGAGAGGTGAGAACCGCCATTATAGAACTACACCACCACCCTGAAAGGGTGCAAGGAAGGAAGCAAAGATATGAGAAGGAAGAAGTGTTCGACAGACACACGTGTTTCATCACAGTCTGGGAAGGTTGGCAGTGACCACTGTCTCACGTGACGGGTTGACAGTGACCACTGTCTCACGTGACGGGTTGACAGTGACCACTGTCTCACGTGACGGGTTGACAGTGACCACTGTCTCACGTGACGGGTTGACAGTGACCACTGTCTCACGTGACGGGTTGACAGTGACCACTGTCTCACGTGACGGGTTGACAGTGACTACGGTAAGTGTGATAACTCACCATGGTCCAGCGCCCCCCCACCACCACACACACCATCTCTCCACAATGAACATACTGCACTTAGTGAAGATTGATGAATGTCATCAGCCAACCACAGATGAAGACATCATCAATTTACAAACTTTCACAATCAATTCACTGTGGTTTGTTAGTGACAGCACCAGTGTTGCCAGTGGTGTTAACTTATAATTCCCAGGCTTCCAAACGCTGCTGCCAACGCTGCTGCCAACGTTGGTACCCAGGCCTACCAACGCTGCTGCCAACATACCTCTCAGTCAGGGGGAGGGGGGGGGGTTAATTACGTCAAGTGGATGCTGGACGCGGCCCCAGGTGCGACAGATCTCCAGCCTCCCACACTCTCGTTCATCTCCCGTGCTCGGCCTCTGGTGTTCCTCCAACTGGTAAACCAGTAATTACGCGGATTCTGGTCAATGGCCCCCGGGAGGAGGGCGGAGCACCATCATGTATTAAACCTGTAGCCACAAGCCTCGAACTAGGCAATGTTAATTCATCTCGCCATCTGATACATCGATTTATTCCTCTACAATACTACATCATACTGTATCACACTGTATAATACAATATTTGCACTACAGTAAGTACTCGAGAGGGCCCTCGTTAAAGTAGCTACTCTCATTCCAGTGAACAAATCCACAAGAGCAGTGACGAGGATTCGAACCTGCGTCCGGGAGCATCCCAGACACTTTCATTCCAGTGTTTCGCCTGCCATGACCTCAGATAGGGGTCTCGCGACTAGGGAAGGGGGGGGGGTTAACTACCCGTGTGGGGGGGGGGTTAACTACCCGTGTGGGGGGGGGGGGGTTAACTACCCGTGTGGGGGGGGGTCGTGGCTCCCGGTGGGTGAGTCGACCAGGTTATTGTTGACTATGTTTACCCGCGAGATTACTAGTTAGTGATAGTTAGTGAGGCTGGAGATGCTGCGCTCATCCCCCCCCCTCCAAGTGCTGTGTGTGTGGGGGGGGGGGTTCCCCTTCTTAGTTTATATCTTTATATGTGGAAATTTGATCAGGCCCCCTTTAGCACAGTAGTCTATGTCCTCGGCTCACAATCGATGGCGTACGCCGGTTCAATCCCAAGGCAGGACAAAAACCGTTGGTCACGTTTTATTTAACCTGATGCTACTGTTCCCCCCTAGCAATGAAAGAATACCCGGGAGTTAGCCAACTATTGTGGGTCGCATCGTGAGGAAAGTTCGTAATTGGTCTAAGGAGGTCTCCATAGGCCTAAGTAGAGGCTTCCTGTGCCCATTAGCAGGAATTATGTAGAGCAATTACCGCTGGTAACCTGGCCTAGGAGAAGCGTACAGAAGCACCTCACTACTCCTTGACCAGGACACGCGCAGGGAACACCAGCACCTCCAGCCTACACAGTGCTATGAAGTGCTACACAGTCCTATACAGTGCTACACAGTGCTATGAAGTGCTACACAGTCGTATACAGTGCTATACAGTGCTACAAAGTCCTACACAGTCCTATACAGTCCTATACAGTGCTACACAGTACTACACAGTCCTACACAGTCCTACACAGTGCTACACAGTGCTACAAAGTCCTACACAGTCCTACACAGTCCTATATAGTGCTACACAGTCCTACACAGTCCTACACAGTCCTACACAGTCCTACACAGTGCAACAAAGTCCTACACAGTCCTACACAGTCCTATACAGTGCTACACAGTACTACACAGTCCTACACAGTCCTATACAGTGCTACACAGTACTACACAGTCCTACACAGTCCTACACAGTACTATACAGTGCTACACAGTGCTACACAGGGCAACATGACCTCCCAAAACCGCCACTCCCAACAGCAGTGTGGTCAACACACCACCAACAGACCAGCCAGACCACCACGCCCTCTTCACACACACTCTCATACACTACCAAATAACAAGGACCTGATGAATCAACTGTATAAAAACAAAACATATATACTGAGAGCCATACAATGGGCTCAAACTGTCGTATCCCTGACCTACTCTTCCCGCCAGCCAGCTGGTGCTTCCCACTCCACTACAAGTAAGTCTGGAAGCACTTCTGGCCAAGATGCTTTCCCGGCCTTTCATATCGGTAGTGTGTGGGGCTAGGGAGTCCAGAGACGAGAGTTCGATCCCACAGCACAACCTCAGTATTTCCTCATGCTCCTACAGATATATCCTATCACTATATATATATATATATATATATATATATATATATATATATATATATATATATATATATATATACGGTGATGTGTGTGTATATATATATATATATATATATATATATATATATGAGGATAATAATGATAATATATATACCAAATTAACGAATCCACAAGGGCCGTGATGAGGGATACAGTTTCTCTCATACAGATACAGTTTCGCGGTACAGTGGACTAGAGTGCCTCTGGGAACACTCAGTGCATGGGTTCGAAGCCCTCACCAAGGCCCCTTGTGGATGTATTCAAGTACTACTACTACTACTACTAAGAGAGTTCAGCGGGTACTGACCACAGTTGAGCTCGTCGTGGCCGCCGGGACAGTCCCGGACACCGTTGCAGAAGAACCGCTGCTCCACACACAGCGTCGAGTTGTGGCCGCACTCGAACCATCCCACCTCACACGTCCCTGTCGAGGAGGAGAGACGTAACACGCTGGTGTGTGTGTGTGTGTGTGTGTGTGTGTGTGTGTGTGTGTGTGTGTGTGTGTGTGTGTGTGTGTGTGTGTGTGTGCTGCACAGGTAGAGTGGGGGGAGTGTTGCATATATGGGACGGGTGACTGTTGCACAGATGTTCCATTCTCACCCGTACATTGATCCCTTCGACATATCCATTAGAGTACCCGGTATTAACTATATGTACGACCTGCCTTACTCCACCGTCTTGCCCTTGTCAAATCTTGTCACGCTACTCGTGAATAAATCTGATGACGAGGCCAACACTACAGTATCTGAGCCGCCACTTATTAACCTATTCTACAGGAAAGTGTTTTCAGCGACACACAAAAATGTTGGAAAGAATCGTGAAAGCCATTATTGAGAGCAACGCGACCCTTACCGACATCAAGCAGATGAGAGAGTTTACACCAAGAGCCAAAAAACATCACCAACGTCCTTACAAAGAACTCTGTCGACCCCGACGAAAAGCCTTGAAAGAGACGAATGTCGTCTATATACCTTCACAGACCCACTTGAAGACCGTCAGCCCCAATGATCTCTGTATATGGGCAAGACAACAACATCTCTTTCAAGGCACTTTACAATTTACAAATATAAACCTTCGTCAAAAGAACTTATCATTTGTACACATAACCAGATCATCACCAAAGATATCCTGACCAACATCGAAATAATCGACTCTTGAAGACTCGACACCAGCAAAGCAACAATCTATTAAGCAGCAACAAACAAAGCAACAAAGATATTAAACAATCTCAACCAACTATCAACAGGCCGCTCACACTCAGGTACATTCTGTCATCTTCAGCACCAAGGCACAATATTAAGCACACACTGTCCCAGCCATCATAGGAACCAAGTTCTTATGATGGCTGGAGGCAGGTATATTATTATTATTATTTATATATATATATATATATATATATATATATATATATATATATATATATATATATATATATATATATTATATATTATACATATAATATATATTATACATATTATATATATATATATATATATATATATATATATATATATATATATATATATATATATATATATATATATACATATCATATATGTTGCGTTTGTAGCGACCCTCAACCTCGAAGACGATGTGTAGCATCCGGGGGAGCTTCGTGGGGCACCCGCGTACACTCACATATTGTCTTCTACCACCCCCAATATTTTTTTTATTTTGTCATTTTATTTTATTTAAAACTTCATTACACAAAAAGGGTTACAACACTGGTTACATGCGAGGTACAAGGACTTGTCACAGGTTGTAGAGTTCCTCCAGCTCCTCAGATGGCGGGCAGGAACCAGGGATGCCATGAGCATTTCCGCTCTGGATCGCCACACTAAGGCGCTGAAAGAGGAAACTGGCGGCTCTAGGGTCTCAAGTTGTTTCAATTAGCTTGGAACCCAGTTCCTTCAAAAAACTAGCAGCACTTTTACCCGAAGCACCAAGTGTCTCTGAGGCAGAGAGAGAGAGAGAGAGAGAGAGAGAGAGAGAGAGAGAGAGAGAGAGAGAGAGAGAGAGAGAGAGAGAGCATGTTTGTCCTCCACACAGTAAGGCGGATATAATCAGCACCGTAGCCAGGTGCTGCATTACCCACCTCAGCGCCGTTCTCAACAATATCACAACGTCAGCAACATACTCAATTAGGAGCCCAACTGTTAAGTCGGCGGATTATCTCGTGTGTAACCTGTGTAACCTCACTACCCGCTAGCTGGGAGCCTCCGCTAATTGCAGTCACAGTGGGTATACTGCTGAAAACTGGCGGCTCGATCTTGCGTGTAACTGCTCTCACCAGAAAGGGCATCGGGGGGATGGGGTGTTAGCTAACAAGGACTTGGATAGATAGGAAGTAGTGTTTATACAGACCTAATTGAACAACCTGGCTTTGGGACGGGGAACTGGCCAGCCCACCGCTCAGAGCAAGAAGCATCTGAAGTATATGCCTTGCTCCAGGGGGAGGGGGGAGGGGGGGAAGGGGGGATTGGGGGGGGGGGAGGGGGCGAACAGCCACGCACACGCCTTCACCAGTAGCGTACTGGAACCCCAATCCCAGTATAGTCCTCATCGACAGTATGAGACGAAACCTTCTGGTCTGCTTGTCGTTACAGGATGGCAGCTTAGGCCAGGCGTGTTTGAGGACGTCCTCAGACACGTATGCCAGGGGCTTTACAGGTTCCTGCCTAGGGATTGCCAGGGGCTTGCCAGCTACATACTAGGGGCTTCCTATGGGCTCCACCAGGAACTTTGCAGGAGCGAGCCAAGTCCCTAGCTCATCAAAGGTTGGCCAGGGGCTGGGCGGGGGCTGGCCAGGGGGTGGCCAGGCCACGCGACGTGTGGTGGTGGTGGCAGTGACAGCCACGGTGGGTGAGCACCGGGGGGTCCTGAACCATCCTCCTTTCCCTGACATGAAGAGACCCGAATGCTGGAGCATTTCCTTCCTCGCTAGGAAGCACGCGCCAGCCTCCTTACACACCAACATACACACATGTATATACATAAATACAATTATATATACGAAATATAAACCCACACTTATTATAAATATATATATATATATATATATATATGTCGTACCTAGTAGCCAGAACTCACTTCTCAGCCTACTATGCAAGGCCCGATTTGCCTAATAAGCCTAGTTTTCATGAATTAATGTTTTTTCGACTACCTAACCTACCTAACTAAACCTAACCTAACGTTTTCGGCTACCTAACCTAACCTAACCTATAAAGATAGGTTAGGTTAGGTTAGGTAGGGTTGGTTAGGTTCGGTCATATATCTACGTTAATTTTAACTCCAATAAAAAAAATTGACCTTATACATAGTGAAATAGGTAGCTTTATCATTTCATAAGAAAAAAATTAGAGAAAATATATTAATTCAGTAAAACTTGGCTTATTAGTCAAATCGGGCCTTGCATAGTAGGCTGAGAAGTGAGTTCTGGCTACTAGGTACGACATATATATATATATATATATATATATATATATATATATATATATATATATATATATATATATATATATATATATATATACACACACACACATACACAGCTGAGTGTGAGCGTCGTGAGAGACACATGTGGTGTCCGTAGGGTCCGCTAATAACATCAATTATCTCGAGACATTGAAGTGTTACAGAGACAAGAAACACTTTTTGTCACAGGAGTGTATACAAACGCAGTGATCAAGTATCAAGGGAGCCGGTCGGCAGAGCGGACAGCACGCTGGACACGTGATCCTGTGTTCCCGGGTTCGATCCCGCGCGCCGGCGAGAAAACGATGGGCAGAGTTTCTTTCACCCTATTGCTGTTACCTAGCAGTAAATAGGTACTTGGGAGTTAGTCAGCTGTCACGGGCTGCTTCCTGGTGTGTGTGTGTGGTGTTGGGAAAAAAAGTAGTAGTAGTAAACAGTTGGTTGACAGTTGAGAGGCGGGCCGAAAGAGCAGAGCTCAACCCCCTCAAGCACAACTAGGTGAGTACACACTAGGAGGGATACCCGGGTAAACTCCTCCCCCCCCCTCCTCCCCTTTTCCTCCATCCCATTTCCCTCCTTCCCCTCCCCTTTTGTGACTTATTCCCTCTTCCCTTTCATAAAATATAATATTGGAAAGAAATTAAACTAATTAATGGAAATAATTTTTTCTGATGACGAAGAACTCTTCGGGCATCGCAACTAATATTTCACACGACCAGAATTGAATCCGTGAGAATCCGATGAGCGGGGGTAAGGTTGTCAATAATTACAAATATATCTTAAATCATTTACCTTAGACCTACCCCAAGCAGCCCATACCCGTCCTATACCTGAGAGCATTGCCTCTACAAATCTGGGTAAGGCTGGCACCCAAGCATCTGGGGCCAGATTCACGAAAGCACTTACGCAAGTACTTAAGAACCTGTACATCTTTTCTCAATCTTTGGCAGCCTTGTTTCCAATTATTAAACAGTTTACAAGCATGAACACTTCCCAATCAACTGTTGTTATTGTTATAAACAGCCTCCTGATGCTTCGGAGCTCATTAACTGTTTAATAATTGTAAACAAAGCCGCCAAAGATTGAGAAAAGATGTACAGGTTCGTAAGTACTTGCGTAAGTGCTTTCGTGAATCTGGCCCCTGGCCTATAACTTTGAACAGACATTCTTCTACAATAGATATATATATATATAAAAGCAGAAGCCTTCCTGGCCGGAGTTTCATCAGTTGCCGGGAAAAACCAATTGGTGGTGGTGCCTGTGGACATGAGAAACATTGCCAGGGAGAGAGAGGCAATAACTCATGTCTGGCAGGTCAGCCCCATCTCCGTCCACGAAAATAAATCCTCGTGGAAGAGAGAAATGTAAGGAAAAGGAGGGAACAGTCGGGAAGAAAAACATTATTGTATTATGAATGTTACAGATAAAAGTTGGACCTTATGAATGTTACAGATAAAAGTTGGACCTTATGAATGTTACAGATAAAAGTTTGACCTTATGAATGTTACAGATAAAAGTTGGACCTTATGAATGTTACAGATAAAAGTTGGACCTTATGAATGTTACAGATAAAAGTTGGACCTTATGAATGTTACAGATAAAAGTTGGACCTTATGAATGTTACAGATAAAAGTTGGACCTTATGAATGTTACAGATAAAAGTTGGACCTTATGAATGTTACAGATAAAAGTTGGACCTTATGAATGTTACAGATAAAAGTTGGACCTTATGAATGTTACAGATAAAAGTTGGACCTTATGAATGTTACAGATAAAAGTTGGACCTTATGAATGTTACAGATAAAAGTTGGACCTTATGAATGTTACAGATAAAAGTTGGACCTTATGAATGTTACAGATAAAAGTTTGACATTGGGTTTTTAGGGTGTAACCCTAAACAGCCCGTGTAGCGGTTATTACCGGTGTATGGGTTCGTTAGGGTTCGCTGAT